ACACACACACACACACACACACACACACACACACACACACACACACACACACACACACACACAAAGTTGCTCAGACTCTAAGTTTTGAGTCAAGGTGAGCTGAGGCCTCAGTATTAGAAAGCAAACCTAGTTGTATATGCAAGTTAAGGATTCTTTTCTAACTTCGTTAAGTGTTTCACTATGGGAATCACCTTGGCGTGTCCAACCATGGAAGCTCCAATGACACAACGTCTGTCAGTGACAGACAGGTTGAGCTGTGCTGGGGCCCCGCCCCCTCATACTGCCCCTCTCAACTCATTCTCGCTTTCTTCCCATGAGGAACGAAATGAAGCTCCCTCAGCTAATCTAGCTGAGCTAGCCTCGACACCGGCTTAACAGTTCATATACGACCTGTAAAGGATTCACATCGCCGAATGTGGCACCAGGTCTGGATTGGCCGAGTAAGTACCTACACATGGTCTTTTGAACAGTGTCCGCGTTGCGGCAAGCTGCTCATTAGGCTACCAAGTATTAAGTTACCAGAGTAGCCAACAACTGTGTTTACGTAGCATCAGGTCAATGTGTCAAGGCGAGCCGTTAGCTGGCTGCACCGTGTTAGCTGATTGGTGTAGTCGGCGACTGTGCAGCATAATACCCGCTGACTAACGCATTACGGCGAGTCAACGGGCTTTTGCTAGCACCGTTTTTAGCCACCCCACAGACAGCAACCATCACCCATCAGCCACAAGCTACTAAGAGCTGGGGCGACTTGATGGAAGATGAGTCCCCAGAATTGCCTCCCCTACGTGAGGACCTCCTTGAAGGGGAGCCTGGTGGTGAGGACGCAGGGGGCGATGCCAACTCTGACCTCCTCAACCTGGATGAGATGGAGGAAGAGGAGGATGATTCCCCCTTTCCTGTCCAACAGTCCAGACCCCCCAGCGCATCAGATACTGCTCCACCATTGGACAGTAATCTGTATGAGGTCTGCAAACGGGCTGCAGCAAAGCTAGGAGTACAATGGACAGCAGCCCAGGACACTGAGGGGAAAGAGAGAGATCTGTATGATGGCAAAAGGCTCCCACCTGCCCAGCCACCATCAAAGCAACTCCTGCCACCAGTACCAGCTTGCATGAAGGAAATGAACCGGTACTGGTCCAGCCCATTTAAGAGTAAGCTTCCAACCAAGGGCTACTCTAAGCTGGAGATCCACGGTATGGGGGAACTGGGGCTGGCTGAACCCCCAGTAGTGGAGCCTTCGGTGGCTTTTCACCTCCACCCCAACCGCCGCTCTCTGTCAGCCTCCTCCACCACTTCTCTGCCCAGCAAAGCAGAGCGTCTCACCGCCTCCATTTTCCAGAGGATGTACAAGTATGCAGCACAGTGAGTATGCTCCCTGAATGCAACCACACTGCTGTCTGCATACCAGGCAGAGATCCTGGAGGAGATGGGTCAACAACTGGACTCCGGGGCACCTAACCCGGCCCTCTGGGAGGAGATCTGTTTTGTCAATGACCTCTCTTACGTTCCTCACGAGGCGCGGTACAAGGCTGTGGTCGAGTAATGGGGCTGGCTGTCTCAGGTAAGAGGGCCTTGTGGCTGAACCTCTCAGGCCTGAGTGACGGCCAGAAGGCAGAGGCGATGGACGCGCGTATGACCCCACCAAAAGGTCCTTTTGGTCCAGCACTTGAAAAGGTGAGGGAAACCAGCACCCTCAGGAAGCAGGAAGGTGAAGCCTTTGATCTCTGTCTTCCACGGAAACCCACCCCTCGCCCCCCTCAGGGTCCAAGAGCTGGCTTTGCTGCTGCGGCTGCAACGGTGAGGGGGAGACAGTGGGGAGGCAGGCCACAGAGGCAGGCAGCTGGTCAGCACGCAGCTGGTCATCAGGCTAACCAGCAGCCTCAACAGCAGCCTCAACAGCAGCCTCGGCAGAACCAAAAGCCATGGGGCAAACACTCCTTTGCGGTAGTGGCAGCAAGGAACTGTCCCCAAAACCCCAGGGGTGGGAAGAGGAAGCTTCTCCCTTTCCCTTCCCATGAAGAAAAGAAGGGAATCGGGGTGAATCAAATCCCTGTAGTTCAAGGTTCAGATACTCTGGCAGTTTTTGGTGGTCCAGAGGTCTCTCTGTTCCTCTCCCCTCAAGTTCAAGAGAGGGAGTGTCGGGGATAGAGGGTAACACAGTGTCACCAAGCACTTTCACTTTGTGTAACAAAAATAAAGTTCACACCCTCGCAGCGGAACAATCGGTCAGAGATTCCGCTACAGTGATAAATCATCTCAGGGATCTCGGGTTCAATATAAACTGGACGAAGAGCCGAGTGGAGCCCACACAGTGCACAGAATACCTGCGTCTCAACATAAACTCTCTTTCTTATCGCGTCACGCTATCAGAGGGGAGGTTAATATCTCTGACACAGTGGCTCTCCCTCTTCAGGCTGGGGAAAGTCGTGTCATTCAGACTATGCATACGCCTGCTCTGCCTCATGGCGTCAGTGATTTCTGTTGTACATCTGGGGCTATTGATGATGGGGGATTTTCAGCAATAGGTCGCGACACTGCGCCTATGCCCAAGCCGTCATCTCAGCTGCAGGGTGAGCATAACATCGGCATGTGTGGTGGCTCTCCGGCCGTGGAGAGACACGGCAGCTCACGCGGCAGGGGTTCCGCTGGGTGTGGTGATGGATGCGTCCCTATTAGGATGGCGAGCGACCATGTTGGGGACCATGGGAAATGGGATCAGAGCCTGGCTCGTTCTAATATAAATGTTCAGGAGCTTTGGGCAGTGTTTCTAGCATTGAAACATTTCCTGCCTTTTCTCGAGGGTCGCCATGTGCTGATAAAGACAGACAATTCCGTGGTGGCATACGTAAACCGCCAAGGCGGCACTTGGTCACTGCAGCTGCACAGATTATCTTGGAAAGTAATCTTATGGAGCAGTACCCGGCTCCTGTCTATTCAAGCGACGCATATACCGGGCGTTTTGAACAAAGGAGTAGATCTCCTGTCCCGGGGGAATCCCCTTTTGGAGAGTGGAAGCTCCACCCGCAGGTGGTGGAACAGATTTGGCTGAGATACGGCCGGCTAGCCGTAGATCTGTTCGCCTCGCAAGAAAACGCGCAACGTCCACTGTTTTTCTCCCTGTCGGACGCAAATGCACCTCTGGGTGTGGATGCTCTGGCACACCCTTGGCCGGACGTGCTGCTTTATGCGCTTCCCCCGCTCAGCCTAATCTCCCCGGCCATGGTGGCCGTAAAAACAGTGGGTGGCAGAAATAATACAGCTGCTAGCAGGTGAGCCGTGTCCGCTCCCCATACGCAGGGATCTTCTGTCCCAGGCAGGCGGGGAGATCTACCACCTGCACCAGACCGCATGGCACTATCGGCTTGGCCCGTGAGAGGTTGACTTTGAGCACTGCAGGCCTGCCAGCACAGGTCATTGACACCATTCAGAATGCAAGAGCCTCCTCCACTCGCTCTCTTTACAGTGGTAAGTGGCGGATTTTTGAGGAGTGGTGTGATTTGCAGCACATCATCCCTTTTCAGTGTTCAGTGGTGGACCGGCTGTGTAAGCCTGCAGGGCAACATACCTTAGTCTGTCGTTTTATGAAAGGTGCACGGCGCAAGCTATCTAGTTTCCAGACCCCTGGTTCCCCTGTGGGAGCTGTCCGTGTTGCTGGATGGTGTTGATGATGCTGGTGTTGATGGCTCTCTCTCCACCCATTTGAGTCTATTGAGGTGGCAGAGATGAAGTTTGTTTCACTGAAACAGCTTTGCTCTTAGCTTTGACGACAGCAAGCGGGTGAGTGACCTACAGGCTTTATCCATATGGCCTTCCTGTTTACAATTTGCACCAGGGCTCACCAAGGTCTGTTTGAGGCCCAACCCAGCCTTCATGCCTAAAGTGGCGGAGTCAGGTTACGGGTGTTCCACAGTGGAGCTGTTGGCTTTTCACCCACCTCCATTCTCCTCAGCGGAGGAGAAGAAGCTTAACACATTATGCCCCGTCAGGGCGCTTCATGTGTATTTGAGTAGGACAGCAGAGTTCAGGAAGGATGACCAGCTAAGGGTTTGCAGCCCCCCCAGGGTTTGAGGGCTCATTCCACTAGGGGCATGGCCACGTCATGGTCCCTGTTTAGGGAAGTTTCAGTACAGGATATTTGTGCGGCGGCTAGCTGGGCTACGCCCCACACTTTCGTAAGGTTTTACAGGCTGGATGTCTCTGGGCCTTCTGTAGCACAGGCGGTGCTAGAGGCACACAGACCAGGGTCTGCATAGCAGCCACTGCCAGGCTTTAAATTATTTAGGGCTTCGGGAGACTTATGCAATCCGGGAGTGGTCTATATGTCCCATAGTGAAAAACCGAACAAAGTTAGAAAAAGAATGTTGAGTTACTTAACGTAATCCCTGGTTCTTTGATAACAGAGTGAAGTGTTTCACCATCACGTCCCTCCTCGCATAGACACAGGAAGAAAGCGGTCTAGAATGAGTTGAGAGGGGCGGGTCGGCTGTGGTAGTATGAGGGGGCGGGGCCCCAGCACAGCTCGACCTGTCTGTCACTGCCAGACGTTGTGTCATTGGAGCTTCCATAGTTGGTCACGCCAAGGCGATTCCCATAGTGAAGCACCTCACGCTGTTATCAAAGAACCAGGGATTACATTAAGTAACCCAACGATATCTACTGGCATGTTAATGTGACAGAAGTTACAGTCAGCTAGGCAGATTGATGTATGCACATGTGAAGGCACACACACACACAAACAATCTTCTCAACTTGAATGGTCCTTTTTCCTCTGTCTCTCTTCTCAATTATCACACAACTTCCTCCACCTGTCTGACTGTTTCCTGTCTTCATGTTACAGGCATCAACACATACGGCTGGAGGCAGGCAGGAGTCAACCATGTGCTCATATTTGAACTTAACCCTAGAAACAACCTGTCCCACCAACATCTGTTTGAGGTCTGAGTGCCCCCCCACACACGCAAACACACACCTGTGAAAAAATACAAATTAAACAAATTGCTAAGAATATTTTGTATGTTTATTTACTCATTATCTGTATAGTGGTATGGATAATGAGTGGATGGCTATTGTATGTTCATTTGTTGTTACATGTCTTAGATTTTATTGATGAACATTGTGTGTTCATGAATACTTGTATGTGTGTGTAGATTGCAGGTCTATTGGGTGTGCTGTGGTGTGTCAGCCTGCTGTCCTGTCTGTTCAGTGACAGCATCCTGGTACCAATGCAGGCAAACCCTCTGGCTCTGTACGGCTTCTTCCTCCTCTTCCTCATCAACCCTCTCAAGACGTGCTACTACAAGTCACGATTCTGGCTGCTCAAACTCCTGGTAACTACTCATTAAATAATCGCATAGATTTCATATAGTTTTTTTATATCAGCGCTATTTTTGTTGATCAACAGTAAATTGTAGTCTTTAAAGTTCACAAAGTGAAGTGTTTGGCAATTTTATAGATCTAAGATCATTCTAACATTTGTGGAAAAAAATGTCCTACCTTTATCTAACTTGACTGTTAAGCAACTAGCCGGTCAGACATAAGATATATTTCATCTTACTTTTCTTTGCCATATTCGGTCAGGGCCGAATGTCTATGGAAGTATTTTAGACCAAAGAGAAGATGTCAGTTAAAGGTTCAGTCAGTAAGATTTAGGTGAGAGGGATTTTTTTGGCAGAAATTGAATATAAAATAATCCTAGTGATGTTTTCGGTAACACTTTATATTAGGGAACACATATCAACAATTAACTAGTTGCTTATTAGCATGGATATTAGAGGCATATTGGCTCTTTATTAGTCATTATAAAGCACTTATTAATGCCTTATTCTTAATTACTTTCTGCAACTACTCTATTGATTAACAGTTTTCCCTAAATAACCTCCTAATTACTGCTTATTGATGTAATTACTGCTTACTCATGTTTTTTTACTGTCGTCCAAACCTTTTTGAGTTTTTATGACAACTAAGGCTACCACAAGTTATTCTTCATATTTGGAAGGGGAGGGTGAGATGAGGAGTATTCAGCTGCAACATGTAACTTCACCTCTAGATGTTACTACATTCTACACACTGAACCTTTAAACGGTAGAATTACGATTTCAAAAGTAGGAGTGCAGTCCTACTTTTTACTTTGATAATCAATGATTAATACATTTTTTAAATGGTTGACAATTATTTTTCTATAGATTGTGTCATGTGTCGATGTTTAAAAGAGGAGGAACCAAGTCGTCTTGCTGAGAATGAGCTGGTTTATTAACTGACTTTTAGTTGCTACAGCTAATCGAACATAACGCAGGCACATATACAGCATGCGTCATAAATGCCTCTTGATGATGTCACGGTTGCCGCGACTCCAGCAACCTGTAGTTACTTATCACAACAGATTGTATCCATTATTCACCCAATTATCTCAGCAGTGGAGCTCCCACTTACAGGGTGAAAATGACAGAAAGTACCAAAACACATTGTTAGCTCATATTAGCGCCTAGGTAGAAACTAACCATGATGCTGAGGAGCTACAGTGGCTCCAGAAGGATCTGAGACCCCTTCACTTCTGTATGCCTCCGCCCCAGCGATAGCTGGCAGCCTGAGGCACTATGTTTACAGGCTATCTGTCCATCCATCTTATTCTCATGAACGATATCTGTCAAGAATGCCTTGATGGATGTTCTTCAAATTTGGTACATTCACTTAGACTTTTGGTCTAGATTTTGGTAGTCATAGTCCATAATGCAATTAGGCATTCACATTCTATCCTTTCACATTTGGCACAAATATTCCCATAGACTCAAAGATGAACTGATTTGATTTTTTTGCCTTGTGAATGCGATATATCTGGAACGCCTTAAGGGTATCCTTTCACATTTTGCCTAAACATTCATTTGGACTTGGATTAGATTTTGGTAGCCAAAGGTCAAGGTCACAGTGGCCTCACAAAGTATATGTATGCTTTTCTGGAATGTTTCATCTTAAGATCATCCTTAGGGAACGTCTTCAAATTTAGTACAAACTTTCACTTTGACTCAAAGATGAACTGATTAGATATTGGTGCCTGGAGGTCAAAGGTCAAGGTCACAATGACCTTACATTCCTGTGAATGTGATATTTCACAACTGCCAGTAGGGAATTTCATTCCATCTGGCACAACTCACTTAGATCCATAGATGAGCTGAATTATAATTTGGTGGTGTGAGGGCACTCAATCTTGCTCTGAGAGTGGTGAGAGAATCAACTCACTGCAATCAGGTGTGTGTGGCACTGATCGGCGGTGATTAAGCCCAGGTGTGGGGAGCCTTCATATACCCTGAGTCTCCAGTGCCCTGTGCTGACTCATTGTCTCACCTTCAGAGGCAGTGAGAGGTTCTCCCCGTTGTCAGTGTGTCTGAAAACACCCCACTAAGAATTTTGCCTGTAGTTTTCCCAGTGAATAAGTTGCCTTTCATTTAGAGTTTTCTGGGTCTCCTGGACAATTTTAGTTTTTAGTCAGCTGCTTGGCAGTGGTGGTTTTGTTAATCATTTGTGGTGCATTGTTTCTTTAAGGAAGCCTGTAGTGGCTCTATACAATTTCGTTGTTTTTTGTTTTTTTCCCCCATTTCCAATCTATCGCTACTGCGATTTTTGTGGTTATCCCCCTGGGATAGCTTAGAGACACCCCTGGGTCTGCACCTGTGTCCCACTCCCCCCCTCCTTACCTGACAGAAAGGTCATTGTGACCTCTCAAAACACAACTTGAGGAAATTATTTCAAATTTGGCACACATGGTTAATGGTTAAGGTCTGTATTTATATAGCACTTTTCTAGTCCTGATGACCACTCAAAGCACTTAACAGTACAGTTTTACATTCACCTTTTCACACACACATTCATACAGTGCATAATCACTCTATAAGAAGGGGCAATTTGGGGTTCAGTATCTTGCCTAGGGACACTTTTGAATATTCAATTCAGTCACAGTGGCCTCAAAAAACATTTTGTTATATCTCAAGACTGCCTTGAGAGAATTTCTTCTTCTTCGCCATGTTTTTTTAAAATTAGTCCAGACTTGACAAACTAAACACCTTTTGAGTTTTTATGATGACTGAAGGCTGCCACAGGTTCTTTTTCATGTTTGGAGGGTGAGGTGAGGGGTGTTCAGCTGCCACATGCAATTTCAACACTAGATATCACTAAATTCTACACACTGTACCTTTAACTGTTATGGCTCTGGAAAAAAAATATGTAGAAATTTGTAGACAGAAACTGCACTTGTTGGCAGATGCATATAACCACTGTGTGGTAATTCTAGTTACTCTCTATTTGGTGATGTAGATTTAATCATTTCACCCATCAGGCAACACAACCCATAGTGACAAAGTCAAACCAAAACTGAAATCTCTTATTTACCACTGCTCTGATATGTAAGTATGAATAATTCAGTGCATCTTGCCCTGTAAGGCTGTGGCTTGTTTGAGCCCTGCTGTCAGAATAATTGTTTACACACTGAGACCCTGCCTACCACCTACTGTTTATGACATGCAAAATGGATATTTTATTGTGAACTCTCATAGTTTAGTTTATTTTGTAGAGAATCTGATTATTCTCATTTTGTCTTCTCCTCCACAGTTTCGAGTGGTGACGGCTCCATTTCATCGTGTTGGCTTTGCAGACTTTTGGCTGGCTGATCAGCTGAACTCTCTGGTGGTAGTTTTGATGGATCTGGAGTATATGATCTGCTTTTACAGTTTTGAATTGGACTGGAAAAAACATAATGGACTCATCAGCAGTGAAGGTGGGACTGTAAGACAGAATGCTACTGAACGCTGTGAAGACTGATCTACACCTTATCATGACCACACTCCTTGCATATCATTGTTTGCAGGTAAAGATGTGTGTAACTCCTACTCCTACGGTGTCCGTGCGGTTATCCAATGCCTTCCTGCTTGGTTCCGATTTGTCCAGTGTCTGCGACGTTACCGTGACACCAAACGGGCCTTCCCTCACTTGGTTAATGCAGGGAAATACTCAACATCTTTCTTTGTCGTCACCTTTGCTGCCCTGTACAGTACACACAAAGGTAAAGCTGTTTTCATTTTACAGATGACATAGTTTACACACAGAGCACTCCAGACCTTGACTATGAAACTTTATTTATGATTATTTAGTATACTTCCTTCCTGTTCGTTGTTGTCTTGATCAATACTTATTATTGTGCGTTTTTTTTAGTTCAACAGCAGTGTCAAGTAATTCTCTCCACTCAACAAGATTCAACTCCAACATTAAAGGTTCAGTGTGTAGAATTTGGTGACATCTCAAGGTAAAGTTGCATGTTGCAGCTGAATACTTCTCATCTCACCCTCCCCAACATGAAAGAGAACCTGTGGTGAACTTCAGTTGTCATGAAAACGCAAAAGGATTGAGCTTGTCCAGTTTGGACAACAGTAAAAAACATGGCGGCCTCCACAGAGAGGTGTAAATATATAGTTTTTAAATATAAAGGGCCCATTCTATGGTAAAGAAAACAACAATTCATACAATTTAGATGATAACACACCAGTAAAAACATCACTAGGATTATTTTATATTACTGCCAAAAATCCATTTCACCTAAATCTTACACACTGGA